GATATAATATGATATATAAAATACAATTCACTACAAGCTATTTGCATATACATTAAAGTTCTAATGTCCATACAATATGCTCCTATTATTCAAAAACATGGGGAGTGGGGGGTGTGGAGGATAGTAAAAATAAATCAAATTTTGGGAGTGGAGGGCGGCGGGGAAAAGAGAGTGGTCTAAACCAGATTTAGGCATTTCTTAATATTTGACATGCCTTTTGGTTCCAGAATTTTCTTTCATACAAAAATCACAAACATGTACTTGTGATTAGGTATATAATATATAAAAAATATCTACGAGATATAAAATGAAACTAAAAGTGCCTATACATTCTAGCAACCTTCTTGTTAACATAACTTCATCCCATGGCAAAAATGAAAATATCTGGATACATAATTCATGCTACAGACAAAAATATAGACAAAATTTCAAACCAAATTCTTTACAATGTAAAGACCTCCACTAAGAGCCTGTTAAATAAGTTCATGCTACTATTGTAGCACTTCCTCCAGATTCATGGTATTTTTCCAGATTCATGGTAATTTTCATGAAGAGTTTTGAAAATGTGTTTTGAAAGTAAAATATTGTGAAGTTAACAAAGAAAGTAATTTACACATATGTGCAAATGACGCTTATAATCCACATAAAATTACCAAAAAAAAGGTCAAAATATGCAAAAATAGCCTTTACTGTGTTCGTCGTGTAGTAAAGGTATTATATGGTGATAAATAATGCAAAATCATTCATTAATTACAAATAATATGTAAATTACTACTAGAATCTATTTTACTTTTCTTAAAATCTAAGTATATTCTTCCCCCAAGCTTGATTTTCTTGATATATTTTGGCTCATCTGGAGGCATATAAAGGATATAAAAAAACATACTGACATGATATCACTTAACAATTTATCAATTTTGCCATGAAATAAGCATACTTTTACTAGCAACTTATACAGCCACTTATATCTATCTACGTGAATGGAAATGACTATATTTGGAATCATTTTGTGTTTTTCTGTGAGCAATGAGTAAAATGACTTTGACATATACAAACAAAATCCATTATAATCAGAAAGTGTATCTTCTATATAGTCTAGGTAGAGGTTTTACCTCTATAAAGATAGACCTTTACATTGATTTTGTACATACAAATGAAACAAGAAAATGTTCAAACTTTACACACATAACACTTCAAGATTAATGTTTTATCCAGCAATGATTAGTTTATAAAGATAAGTTAAATTTCATACAAGAAAACATCATCTTTATGAAAGTTAATCAAAATTACTCATCTACAAGTCGCATCAGTTATAAGACAAGGGACTAACTTATACACTTATAACTGCAACATTTTACTTTGACTCACTTAAAAGTCTGGGTTCATATAAAAATAGCCCCAAAATACATGAAAGTGATAATAGCATACTTTATCTAAAACAAGTGTGTCCATCAATAGAAATACTGATGAAAACATATAATCAAAATCTTATCAAATATTCATGAAATTCTGTAGATGATATAGCCCTATCTTTCAGATGCAGGCCTCGCATGATTCAATGATACAACCTTATACATAGTACAGTATGAGCATTTATATGAAATATCTAATCTCATACAAACCACAAACAATTCATTACAAAACAAACCTTCACTAACATGATTTCATTATAATTAGAACAGTACATAAACTTGATTTAAACATTAGTTGAAATAATATGTTATATTTTAGTCTTAAATTACATGGACAGTTAAGTATCTAAGATTTTAACACTGTTTAAAATAAGTTTAAAGTCTAAAAGAGCAGGAATGGGTTAAGAAGTTAACAATTTTTGGTCTAAATTCATTTAGATTAATGTATAGTAATATAACATAATAAAACTTTAAATATTGTTTGAATGAGGTAAAATTTTGAGAGGGACATGGGTCAGAGATCATAATACTGAAATGTGTGACTTTAAAACAAAGAAAAATAACTACTTATTATTATCTCAAACCCGTTACCTTTAATATTATCTTATTCACAGTAATGCAAGGCTTTGTTTATACAGGTTTTATCTTAGTTTGTGTAGGAAGCTATATGCTTGTTGGAACACTCAGGATTCTGTCAGTACTAAGCAATAAGTCTTGCTAAAGGTAATAATGGATTGTCCACAAAGGAATCGGCACTACTTGCATTACAAGTCCAACAAATTAACCACAATAAGCAATTCCGCCACTCCTTACACTACAAGTCCAAGAAGTTAACTACTTAGCAATTACGCCATGCAAGGTTTAAATTCAATTATTAAAATGTTTAACCCTTTCGCTGCCAGAGGGTTATTGTTTTATTGATCACCTATTTGCCAGAGGGTTTTCTAAGAAATTACTATATTATTTATTAATATAATTATTATTAATTGTTATTAGTATTATAATAATTATAAATGTTTCCGAATCTGTGAGTATAATAATAATTATTGTCGATGGTATAATTTTCTTTATATTTATTATCATTTCTATTATTATTATTATTAATTTATTATTATTTCTATTATTATTATTATTAATTTATTATTATTACTATTATTATTATAGAAACGGCTAAAGCCGTCCATATGGCAAATACGCCGAAAATAACAGCAACGGCATAAGCCGTCCCTATGGCAGTGAAAGGATTAAGGACAGAAACAACTTTTCAAGAAAATATCTAAATATATAAATATTTTATTCACAAGTTTCCAAGTTTCTTAAAATTTCTATTGCATGATTTATGCAGGTAGACTGCATGTTCAAATCAAGTTAAAGATGTTTAGAACAAAGTACAATGTTCCGAATCAAGTTAAAAATGTTTCCAACCAAGTTAAAGATTTTCCAATCGAAAATTTGGACATTCCTTACCAATTTAAATATGTTTTTAACCAATCAATATATGTTCTGCACCAAGTTAAAGGCGTTCCGAACCAAGATAAAAATGTCCCACCTACTTATAGAGAAATAGGCCATGGATAGAGTGGTTAAATTGTTCTCATCAGCACATTAAAAAAAAGCTTTTTTTCATATAAAAAACTGATAAAACTTTACATTAAAACAAAGCTTAACAAAATTCATCATTACAATACACAAAAGAATAAAAGAATTAAAACTAATGACAAATGTAAAGGACTAAAATAAAACTGTTTGTACGTCATTCAAAAAACAAAATACAGTCAGACCTGTCATAAACAGCCAACCAAGGGACACAGTCATTTTGGCTGCTTAAGACAGGTGGCTGCTGTATTCAATATTTCAATAACAAAAAAATACGACAATGAAAAATTGGCACAAATATATTGCAAAAACTCATAATATTAATGTAAAACCATGCTAAAATGTGGCATAAAATTATGTGTTTTATGTTATTTTTAGAACAACTTCACATCTTTAAAGATGGCATTTGATTTCTTATGTAGAGGTGAAAAGCGAGTGAAAATCATGCTTTAACAAAATGGTATTTTGAAAAAAGGAATTCAATTTAAACTCGACGTAAATTTTAACAGCAACTATATAGATATATTTTACTCTGATCTTAAAAGTTGACATGGAATATTGACCTTTAAAATTAAAGTTGAACTTAAATTCAACAGCAAGGATATAGTTATATTTGACTATGATCGTGGATTATTGGTCAAATGTATAGGCAATATGCAAACCAAGGACAACATGACAATGAATCTAATCTCTATACTTGGTATATGTTATGCCCCAAATATTCCCATTCCAGTGAAAACAATTCACTACAATTACACAATATTATAATAGTAACTGACTGACTGGTAAGAATAACATATACATATAAACATATTGTAACTCTATGTTATTACATAGATATATTATAATCACTGATAAAAATCATATGGGTTTTTCACATAAAACTATGTCACTGATAAACAAATTTCACTTGAAAACAGTTAAAATTTATGAAGATTTTATCAATTTCATTTCGAAAATGACTTCAATTTATAAAAAATTTAACAATTTCACTTGAAAACTGGTACAACTAAAGATTTTACCAATTTGGCTTAAAAAAACGTAAAAATTCAAAAAGATTTTACCATCTGTTCTTGAAAACTGGTACAATTATAGATATTTTTACCAATTTCACTTGAAAACAGGTTGATCTAAAAAAAAATGTTTTATAAATTTCTCATGTAAACAGAATTCATTAAAAATTGTATCAATTTAAAACAAAAATTTATAGAGATTTTACAAATTTTACTGAAAAACTGGTACAATTTATAGAGACCTTACCAATTTCACCTAAATATAGGTACAATTAATAAAATTTTACCAATTTAAAAATTCAAAAAGATTTTACTAATTTTACTTGAAAATATGTATAATTAGTAGAGATTTTACCAATTTTCACTTGAAAACAGGTACAATTTAGAGAGATTTTACTGATTTCGCTTAAAAACAGGTTGATTAAGAAAGATCTCATGACATCAGCTTAGAATTCTTTAATGATTGTATCATTTAAAACAAATTTTATAGAGATTTTACAAATTTTACTGAAAAACTGGTACAATTTATAGAGACCTTACCAATTTCACCTAAAAATAGGTACAATTTATAAAATTTTACCAATTTCGCTTAAAAATAGGTAAAATTTCATACAGATTTTACTAATTTTGCTTGAAAACAGGTACATTTTCTTTACATTTTACAAATTTCACATGCAAACAGCTAATAATTCATTTAAAAAGTGTATCAATTTAAAACAAAAATTCATTGGTATATAACCAACCTATAAATTCATATACAAAACATATACAAAAGTCACTAACTGTTCTGATGATAACAAAATCTTTATGTTTCACATATGAAAACTTCAATGGAATTCACATCAATTTACAACCCTTTAAAACGTTATGACATTCTGCCTTAGTCAGAACTATGAAAATTTTCCCATTTTCACAAAGGCATCATTTCACATGTCAAATATCTTCACACAGAAGGGGACACAATTGTAACTTTCACATCTTTTCAGAATCTAATCCTGACATGTAAATTAATTCCTCCTATTCTTGTATCTTGAGTATTGTACGATAACTTCCCATTATAAAGTGACAACCTTTACGATGAATTTTATTCTGTTTCGTTTTCACGATAATCATTACTATAAATAGTGTCCATCCTGAATGTTCACATGAATATCATTGTAATGTATATGTCATACTTTTAAAAATGTATTTCCGTATTGCTCAGGACTAATCAACTGTCTTATAGTAAGGCACTTCGTCCATCGGGTAGCCATCGTCCATGTATGTGTACGTTCTCGTGTCAGACGTTCCGTACGGCGGTGCACTTGGCTCCGGTCTGTGATAACCGAACTCGCTAGGTGGGTCGTAAGGGTCTTGTGTAACTCCACAACACACATACTTCATTTTCTGTAAGTATAGATTTCATTGACATTTAACATATATAAATACATATAATACAAATGCAAATTCTAATACCATTCTACAAGGTTAACAAGGTGACAAATGTAAAATAGCACAAGTGTTTTGTCTATGTCTAAAAAATCCAGGTCTTATATCACAGCCATGCTCTTGGCTGTTTAATACTTCTACATTTGTGTTTAAATATTGTTTAAATATTGAAATGCCTTTACTTGACAAGGAAGTTCTCGTATTTCTGGGAAAATTCTGGGAAAATTTATTACACATGGCATGATGGCCATTTAAGTCACATTACGCTATTTTTTTGCTATTGTCAAATTGAGCTTCATATAATTATATTTTTCAAAAGATTGATTATTATATTGGTGATTGACCAACAGTCGATATATTGGAAAATGTTCAGGATAAAATTTAAATCTGCCTAAAACATAAAGAGACTGCCAGTCTTTTTATTAATTGAACACTACAGGTAAATTCTGTCTAAAACATAAGAAACTGCCCTTGTTTTTTTTATAAATTGAACAGGTAAATTTCCATGGATATTCATAGCAATTTCCTTCAGCCATGCAAGTTATTTATCGTTCATGTGAAGTAAATTATAAAATTGAATAATGGTACAATGTAATCTTATTTTTTAGCATTCACCTGTTAACACACTAAAAACCCTTGGATTGGCGTAATGTCACTTTTAATTAAAAAAATGTGTGCAAGTCAAGCAATTATGGTACCTTATAAAGGTATGGTACAGGTTAAGACTTAAAATTATTTCTAATTTTTAGCCGAACTTATACCCGTCAGTATCGTAAGTCTCAGTTTGTTTAAACATATTCATTTCCCGAATATATACATTTACATATATACATATGCAATGCAAATCAAATTGAACATTTTTATATTCAAGAAAAGGATTAGAATGGAAGACTTAGTCTTAAAAAATTCTTATATTTTAGTGGTTCTACTCAGGTGCCAGTTTCTGCCTGAATTAATGCATGGAGGTCTTCCTCCACCAGAAAAGCTGGAACTTCGCCAAATGGCATATACTGTGTCTGTGTGATGTTAAACCCATTGAAACAAACAAACAAACAAACATGTAAGAATGTCAAAATTCCAACTGACAACATACCTGTCCGAAAGATCCATGTTCTTGTTGACAACTGTGTATCATAGCTGCGGGAATCGCTATAAAAGGTGCGGCGGCTAGCAACCAACATACGAGATCCCATGTGCCTTGTATCCTGACATTGTTGTAGCCAGGTATTGTACTAAGTTCCGTTACAAAGTAGTATAAGAATATCGCCTAAAATGAGGAAAATATTTGGTTTATACAGAAATGCAGAATTTATTTAAGTTACATTTTGCAGAAAGCTATAATCTTCTAGACACACTTTGGAATCCGTTCTTTGAACCAATCAGTACTGAGCAATGAGTGTAAAGGCTCTTACTCAGGGAAATAACGACTTGCCCCCGACAGGGTTGGAACCCATGCAGCTAGTGATCATTAGATTACTTTATATTTTCATCCTAATGTCCCCAAAATAATAATGAATAGTTCCAAAATGGAAGCAAGACAAGTCCCTTTGAGAAATTCAGCAGAAAATGGCAATATTTAAGGCAAAGGGAGTTAATTTTGCACACACAAAAATATCATGTGAAAAATAAATCTACTTTTTCTATACAGAAGTAGCATAAAACATACAAAATATATATACAATTTCCAATTGATTACATTGTAGAATTAGAATACATAGGAAAAGAAAGTAGTTCCGTAATGAAATATATATATATATATATATATGATAAAAAAAACACCAGAAACAACTGCTTATCAGTGTTGGAATGTCAATATATTCTATTAAATTTGAGCATAGAATATGTTTAAACAATAATTTGAAGAAATGCCATGACCTGAGGCATTTAAGCTTTAGCTTAAACGGGGCTAATCAAATTAATATGAGCAAACTTGATAAAAGACTACCTAAGAATGCTACTAAGTTTGGTGATCATCTATCAATTATTTCAGTAGGAAATGATGTTCGGAGGCTTTTTCTATTTTTAGCTTTAGTGGCCCCTAAAAGGGGCCAATCAAATTAATATAAGCAAACTTGATAAGAGTACCCAAGAATGCTACAGACAGTTCGGTGATCATCCATTAATTAGTTCTGTAGAAGATGTTGAAACGTATTTCTATTTTTAATTTTAGCGGCCCCTAAAAGGGGCTAATCAAATTAATATGAGCAAAATTAATAAAAGACTACCCAATAATGCTACAGACAAAGTTTGGTAATCATCCATCCATTAGTTCTGTAGCAATAGATGATTAAATATATATCTATTTTTAACTTAAGCGGCCCCTAAAAGGGACCAATCAAAATAATATGAGCAAACTTGATAAAAGACTACCCAAGAATGCAACAGACAAAGTTTGGTGATCTTCCATCAATTAGTTGTGTAGAAATAGACATTTAAAGGTATTTCTAGTTTTAGCTTTTGCGGCCCCTAAAAGGGGCCAATCAAAATAATATTAGCAAACTTGATAAAAGACTACCTAAGAATGCTACAGACAAAGTTTGGTGATCAACCATTAATTAGTTCTGTAGAAATAGACGTTTAAAGGCTTTTCTATTTTTAGCTTTAGCGGCCCCTAAAAGGGGCCAATCAAATTCATATGAGCAAACTTGATAAAAGACTACCCAAGAATGCTACAGACAAAGTTTGGTGATCATCCATCCATTGGTTCTGTAGAAGATGTTTAAATGATTTTCTATTTTTAGCTCTGCTGACCCCTAAAAGAAGTCAATTGGAATGATAGGAGCAAATTCAAGTGTGACTGTCACAAGGATGCTACAGACCAAATTTGAAGTAAATCGGCTTAGTGGTTTCAGAGAAGAAGATGATTGTTGAAGCATGACGACAGACGCCGGAGCATCCCCATTTGATACTAATAGCTCACCCTGAGCCTTCGGCTCTGGTGAGCTAAAAAACAGTTCTGCTAAATTGCCAATGTTAAAATACTGCACATGTATAAAGGTAGTACAATACATGTAAAACATCTTTCAAACATTGAAAAGACAGTATTTCAGTAAGAAAAAGAATATATACAAAAAGAAAGTAGTCCCATAAATGTAGTAATTAAGTTACGAAAAGAAAGTAGTTCCTTACTGTTGTAATGATTGTGGAAACGGCACACCATGTGGACATAATAATTCTTTCTAAAATACCAAAATTCTGTTTTGCTAGAAAATAAAAGAAAAACAAAGCAATCTTTAAATCATACTTTATAATACATTACACATTTTGCTTCTAATCTATAAAACTCTTGACTGAAATTTATAAGTTTTTGTATTCTGCTTTTCGTTTTTTCCTGGTTTTAATGCTAGGAGACCAGGAGACGCAGCTGTTCCTATAGTGATTTTTTATGGCAAAAACAAGCAAAAAAACTTGGAAAGTATGCCATAGGGATTGGTCTTTTAAAGATTACCGCCTTATAAAATTCACAACCACTCTACATAAATTCAGCAAGTTATGAGTTAAAGCATTTAGATTAAGCTCCATTATTATATTTTTTTTGTTTTGGTTTTAAAGGCTTTAACAACTTACCATACACAATGACCAGACAGAAACCATATAGTGCCACCGTGAGGAAGTATAACTTTGTTACACACTGATCCATTATAATAATATAGTATAATCCAGCCTGAAATATAATACCAATTTACATGTATAAAGATCTTGAACCAATCAAGTTGTAGAATGTTTGTATCAAGTGTGAGAAAAAAGTTTTTACATTTTAGTTTAGTTGGTTTTTACGCACACCAACACATTTTAAGTCATATAGCGATGAAAAAGAAAAGATAATTTTGGATTACCTCGGGTGTTACTTAAACTTAAAGCAACACCAGGGTCAAAACCAGGAGTCAAAACAGGATCACCTGCTAATGCTCAGAGATGCATATACTCCAGTAATTCCAACCCATTTAGTTGCCTCTTACGGTCATGCAGGGATCAACAATGGGTGCAGTTCTGATGCCTTAACTCTTAAAGGGAAACCCTCAGCCACAATATTTTAGCTAATTCCGATGTAAAATTTTTGTTCATTTTCCAAATTTGAGTAGTTTTGTATACAGAAATTGTTAAGTCAATTTGGAAATAGACGTTTAAGCAAATTTTTACATTATCATGATACATATAGATTTAAGTCAATCTAGATACAGAAATTGATATTCAATTTTATTCAATTCTGGTGTGCAAAGAATTAAGTTGATTACAACATAAATTTTGTACAAAAAATAGTCATTCATTTATTCCCTAGGTAATGATTAGGCATTATAAACATCAAATATAATGTATACATTTCATTTTAAGAACGTTTTCAGGAGTTTTCATATAGACATATGGGCAAAATTAAAACTTTTCAATAGAATTTCTTTTAACTTGGCATTTAGTTAGAATATGATAATAGAAACATTTAAGCAAAACAAAAACAAATATCTCTATATGAAAACTCCCAAAAATGTCCTTTAATTCAAATTGTTCTACCTACCTGTGTCGTGTGTAAAATGGAACATCCAACCCCTACAGATGTAATAGCAAATGCTGCGCAGAAATTAACACAGCATTTCTTCTCTTGGAATGTCTCGCTCCAACTTGCCAACCCCTCAACAAGATTATCCAAAATTGTGAATAAAGCTACGATCTAAAAATAAAGTAAAACTTCAGCATTTATTTTTCTATATTTTCGAGGGTTGACAGCAAAAATGCAGTAACTGTCATATGATATAAAGAAGGACTTACAACAGTTTGCAGTCAACCCTCAAATTTTGTGTACATTGTTGTATTATAATAACTTGTTTAAAGTGTATAAAGCTATATATATGATGCAAAAATTATTGTTTGGATTTAAAAAAGAATACTCCCAAAATTCTTGTATGAAATAGAAATGGCAATAAATTGCCTTAAAGCGAGTGGCACATACTCAAAGTCATTGCTAAATGGATAAAACTCGATTTAAAAATAGAAAAATAATATTTTGTTCCGGAACATTTTATTCTGTTTATAAACATTATTCATGTGTATTCATTTTTGGTGCTTAAATGTTTGAAGATGCCATCCTAGACATAGATTCTTTGCATTCATTTAATCACTGAACAATTTTAGTCATGCATTTTTCCCCCAATTTTTAACAAAACATCGCTGAAATTACGGGTCATGTTACCAAATTCCTGGAAAAAAAACAACTGTGATGAACGGAAATCAAGGTGAACAGACAAGGGCGGCTATTCTGTATGCGAGTGGGGAAGGGCCCTTAAAAAAAAACAACAATAAAATGTATACCAGGAACATCATTCCAGCTATGAATACAGACAAGTAGAACAACAGGGCATACACAGGGGGGATTTCTAACTCTGTGAAAGCTGCGGCCATCGTTGTAAATATTGCCTCAAAACCTGAAGAAAGACAAAAACTGAAAATACTCAAGAATATCACATTAAACAAGATGTTACTGCTCATTTCACTACATTAATTTTTTTTGTAAATTTATGTATATCTCTTTAAATATCTGGCACATGCGAAAGAATCATTGATTTGGATAGATTCTCCACTTGAAAAAAATCAAAGTCCCTGTCTGTATTCAAACCCACAGCAGTGAGGGGTAAGAGATTTGAAGTAATCAACCATAAACACCAGGCCAAATAGGCCCCCAGGAATCTTAAAATTATTTTACTTTTCTTAACATCTAAGTACATTTCTCTTTGTACATAAAAAAAATACAATCCTTCATGATTATAATGGCATCTGACAAAAAATACTTTGCAAAAATTTATGAATTATTTATTTGCACATGATTTTGTTAGCACTCTAAATTATCTAATAAAAGTATAATAGAATCCTCACTGAAATGCCACACCATGCATTTATTAATTTCTTGCCCCTAGAAATGCAAATTCAATTTATGGATTATGTATATCTAGAAGTAAAAGCGATAAATTCAGAATCAAAGGAAAATGGAATTAAAAAGAGGACAAAAACATAAATATCATCCAAATGTATCAAAAATAAAGCATGAACATTTAATATCATCACATGGAAAATGCTTCACATTGTCATGACAACAGATGTATTAAAAGCTTTTCATGTGCTAAATGAGAGTACTAAATGTATGTGCTAAATGCATGTACACTCCCTGAATAACAAGAGATGTTTTTGTCATACTATGCTATTATCACATTCCTGATACATAAACAGGGAATGTCAAGGTCATTCAACTTTTAAGAAAAATATACTTAAGAATTGTTTAGCTAGATAGATAGAGCATTTGACTGTGAATCGGGTGACCTGGGTTTGATTCCACAGCGGTGCAGGTCACTTCTGTTGTGATTGATCATGAAATACTTTCTACGGTCATTCACAATGTACCTCTACTCTTCCATACCGAAGTAATCAGTTCCTTGCAAAAGTAAAGGCAACTGCCTAGGAAGGATGTGGTGATAGTACTGTGCTCAGAGCTTATTATGATGTAATTTAATGGTTTGTAAAAGAGTGTTCTGTTGTAGTGAGTGGTTAATTTTTGTGTTTTTTTTTTTAAGTAAGAAAGTGTTTTGCAATGTGTTTTCAAGGGGGTTGAAATTTCTATTGTTAGTAATTCTTGTATTTTGATTTTTTGTTTCACTTTCAACTTTAATTATGACCGCTAACCAGAGTTCATAAATTTCTTCTGTTATTTGGGCATATTTAATTTTCTAATTTCGTCAAAAGTTACATGTGCAGTCAGACTCAAGGCAAGTTACAGACACAGACTCATACAATACAGATAATATAGATTTATCACTTACCGACAATTTTAAACAGCTGATTTGGAAGAACTTGTTGTAGATTACCAATGTAAGGTGCCATACATAACTGAGGAAGCTGGCATGTTGCTGCATATACCAGGATAATAAATAACCATGAACTGCAATGTAAAAGGCACATTTTGGTGGCTGCAAACATCTCAGACAAATAATCTAAGGATCACTGTCTGCAGGGGTTTTAACCCCAACAGGGGTGAGCCGTTGTTTCCTTGAGTAAGAAACCTTACACTCAATCCTTGGTGCTGGTTGGTTTCAGGAACAGATTTGTCAGTCTGTCTGTAAGCTATTAGACAAAACTTTCTACACAATTGAACTTAAAAAAATTCTGTATAAACCAAAGGCATATTTAGCTTCAGAATTAAGTAATTTTTTGTTCTGTAGAAAGGACAATCATGTGTATTAACGATGTTGTGGAAATGGATTTAGAACATGTAACTTGAAGATGCTTTTTTTTATTTTTTGCTCACAACTTTTTACTGAAAATTAAAATAATAATAATTTCTCGTTTTTCTAATTTGTTTTTATAGTGATAATCCATTGAATTTCTGTTTGATTAACTTTCTTAACTATTTTCAAACTACATTTTAGATTCAGAAAATTTCTATTTCAAACTTCTTTTTTAATATTATTTCTGACACTTCTTGGACAGGTTTGTTAGGCAAATTTATTTCAATAATAATAATGTCTCCAAGTCATAAAAATTGCAAGACAAATCACATCAGAAGTGTCAGTTTCTTAAAAATTGATATTCAAACATAAACAGAACATTGAAGAACATGCAAGATAAGTGGTGGCATGGCCGAGTGGTTAACGCATCAGACTAGTAATCTCATGATCACTAGCCGCATGGGTTCATACCCCATCAGGGGCAAGTCATTGTTTCCTTGAGCAAGAAACTTTACACTCATTGCTTAGTACTGGTTGTTTCCAGGAACAGATCCAAAAGCGAGTCTATAAGCTTGTAGCTTCCTACATACACAATCAAACTAATGTCTATAAGCTTTTAGCTTCCTACATACAAAATCAAACTAATGTCTATAAGCTTTTAGCTTCCTACACAATCAAACTAAAATAAATGCCGTATAAAGCCAAAGTCAAGATACTTACATGTTCCTACTGAGACGACCATTTCCGGTCATCTTGCCCATGGTTGGTAATATAGCCGTCCACACCGGAACTGAGTCCATCACTAGTCTGAAACCTGACACCCAATCCTAGAAGAGTTAAAAAGAGTTAATTAATAATAAGCGCACAATTAAACATCATCTGGTTGGGTTTAAGGTAACACCCATATATTTGTTAATTTTTGTGGGGTTTTTTTGTGTGTGGGGGGGGGTTATTTTCTCCTTTTTCATTTCAAAGGTCATATGGTTACTTTCCAGCTTTCCTAGTCAGGAAAACGCAGGTGCCCCTCCATGCATTATTTCAGGCACTAATAACACACACTTTTGGTCCTTCTATATTCAATAAGAAACAAGAGGGCCATGATAGCCATGAGGTCGCTCACCTGTATATAGGCCCCCCAAACTCCCACCCCCCCAACGTTATCAGGGCCAATTTCAACCAAGGGCTTTTATTTGCACAAACTATGGTAGACACCCATAAGAAGATGTTTCATGCTAAAACATCTAAGCTCTAGCTCATTGGCTTTTAAAAAGAAGATTTTTTTAAAGTTTTTTACTATACACAAATTTAGTTAAAAAACAATGGACACCCCTGGGGCCGGGCCAGTTTTGACCCCAGGGCTTTTAATTTGAACAAACTTTGTAGACACTTACTAGAAGATGTTTCATGCTTAATATCTAAAACTCTAGCTATTTGGGTTTTTTTCAAAGAAGATTTTTAAGTTTTTGCTATACACATATAAAAGAAAATCAATGACCCCCGGGAACGGGCCCAATTTTGACCCCAGGTCTTTTATTTGAACAAACTTTTGTAGACACTCACTAAAAGATGTTTCATGCTTAATATTTTAACTTCTAGCTATTTGGGTTTTTTCAAAGAAGATTTTTTTTAAGTTTTTTTGCTTTACACATATAAGGAAAATCAATGACCCCCCTGGGGCAATCTACCGGTGCCAATTTTGACCCCAGGGATTTATTTGAAAATAAACTTGGTAGACACCTATTAGAAAATGTTTGATGATAAATATCTTAGCCATAGCTCTTTGAGTTCTTTAAAAGAAGATTTTTTAAGTTTTTACTATATGCATATAGGGAAAATCAATGACCCCCCGGGGCGGGGCCAATTTTGACCCCAGGGTTTTTATTTGAACAAACTTGGTAGGCACTTATAAGAACATGTTTCATGCTAAATATCTTAGCTCTAACTCTTTTGGTTCTTTAAAAGAAGATTTTTAAGTTTTTTCTTTCGGTTGCCATGGCAACCAGAGTTCTGCATGGAATTAAATTCTTTGAACAATTTTTAAAGGTGACCACCAAAGGAACATTCCTGTGAAGTTTGGATGAAATTGGCTTAGTGGTTTATGAGGAGACATTTTTTTATAATAATACAATCAAATTTCGAACATGAAAGTTTTGAGACACTGACTTACCCTTACTAGTGGTGTATTTTCATTGTGTAGATTATGAAACTGGGTCATATCGAGGTTATATAACTCGTAAAGGAATGTGTTAGAACCGTTACTATCTAGGTGACTGTATCCATAACCCAGTACTGTAAATAACAGTGCCAGGAATGCTGGGCCTAGCACAAACAATATCTGAAATGAAAAAGATAAAATAAACATTTTTACTCTATGTATATTGTACTTCTAACCTCTTCAAGTTATTATTATAATTATGAATATATTACCAAAATCTTGTCCTCATTCTTACCAATTATTACACAGTAGAGTAAAGGTTTATATTTGTTTGTTTGTTGTTTTTTTCTGCTTCTTCCATGCACATTATTTGCCAATTATTATAAGTTGTCAATTAACTGGCCTGCTACATTTCACCTTTTTGTCAATTTCTTTTCTAAACAAGAGCTGTCAGTAGGACAGCACGCTCGACTATTCTAAGTGCTTGATAGTAAAAGAGCCTTGATAATGTTAAATTTTTTAAGTTCACAAAAGGGCTAATTTTTTTTTATAAATTCATGTTATAGGCCTTAGAGGGAGTCTAATTATACAGTATTGGCTTGACTATACGGAAGGTAATGTCATAGGAAAGTGTTTTATTGAGTATAATAATACTAATTACCTATGAATACATAAATTTGACAGAAAATGTACAAAGGCTTGTTATTAAGATGTTTTATCAAGTAAATCACTGCATTATTATTATGAATGCATAAAATTGTCCCAAAAAAAGGCACAAACCCTTCAGTAGTTATTGAGATAACAGCTTACAAGCAAAACTTTACCATGAATTTCTAAGTTGAAAAAGGGGAGAAAAATCAGCCTAAATTGCAAGATAGAATTATGGATCTTTGTCAGTGACCTACAATTTATGGACCCTAATGCATATGTGAAGTTTTAAATAAATATCTTTAATAGTTATTGAGATATGTAAAAAATGCATGTAAACATTAACCAAGAGACTAAGTAGAAAAGGGGATATGAATCAGCCTTAATGCAAGATAGAGTTATGGAACTTGGTCAGTGACATACAGTTATGACCCTCCAATTATGACCCTAAGTGCATGTGTAAAGTTTCAAGTAAATATCTTTGAAGACCTTTAACCAAAATTTCTAAGTTTCAAAGGGGCAAATAATTCTGCAAATATTGCAGGCAGAGTTATGCAATTTTGCAAACTGATGAACATTGTTACTATAAAAAAAGTATTTTAAATTTCAATTTAATATCTCAAGCAATAATTAAGATATTTGACTTTACAAAAAAACTTTAACCAAAATTTCTAAGTTAAAAAGGGGCATAATTCTGTCAATATTGTAGGCAGAGTTATCAAACTTGTCAATCTGATGTACCTTGTTACTATAAATAAGTATTGTAAGTTTCAATTTGATATCTCAAGCAATAATTGAGATATCTGACTTTACAAAAAACTTTAACCAAAATTTTTAAGTTAAAAAGGGGCATAATTCTGTCATTATTGTAGTCAGAGTTACCCAACTTGTCAATCTGATGTACATTGTTACTATAAATAAGTATTGTAAGTTTCAGTTGAATATCTCAAGTTATAATTGAGATATTTGACTTTACAAAAAACTTTAACCAATGCAGACGCCGACACGGACGCCGGGGAGACTACAATTGCTCTCATATTCTTCGAATAGTCGAGCTAACAAGAGCCGGTTGAACTGGGTGATGCTCCCCGACACACAGAAACTACTTCTTGTTGATATCTTGTGCAGTTTCAGAGGTATGTACCATACAATGTTCACAGTGTAAAAATGAACAAAGGGTAATAACTCCAAATTAGTCAGGGCAGAGTTAATGTTCTTTTGCACTGCACTTCTACACAATGAGATCTATCTAAGTTTCTTGTTGATACCTCTTGAAGTTTCAGAGTTATGTCCCGAACAAGTAAAGGGGACGGATGGACAAAGCAGCAACATTATGCAAATTCACAATGGGTGAAATAATATTTTAAATTGACTTGAAATAACCACTTACCCATCCGCAGACTCGAGGTCCGAATGCTAGGGCTAGAAATATGAATAACCATGCAGCTACCATGGCCATCGGAAGAATTGAGCCGTTGAAGTTTTTTACTTCTTGAGAAAATGTCCAGACGGGAAACCCTCGTACATCCGATATATTCCCAGATATCTGTAGATACTCGCAACTGAAATGCACGCATAAAATATGAGCCGCACCATGACAAAACCAACATAATGGGTTTGCGACCAGCATGGATCCAGACCAGCCTGTGCATCTGCGCAGACTGATCAGCATCCATGCTGTTTGCTAACATACAAATAGAGAAACTGATAGCGAACAGCATGGATCCTGATCAGACTGCGCGGATGCGCAGGCTGGTCTGGATCAATGCTGGTCGCAAACGCATTATGTTGGTTTTGTCATGATGCGGCTCATATATTTTACAATGATGTAATTTTGCAATGTTTATATTTCATTTTATTACCATAACTTTATAAGACTCTTATACCGGCTGCCGGTACAGACCAGAATATCTAGTTCCAGAATAATACAATCTATATTCATGGTTGCAGTAAATTTATTTATTATGTACGTTTTTTATATTCAGTTAAGCTGAATTATTCATTTGTTGTTAAGATTTTTGTCAGGTAATATGGCACAACAGGTTGGTATTAACAGTTGTCAGCGTTTTTGAGACAAGTTTGTGTCAACCAAAGTAAGATTGACAGACTGTGTGATATATATACGTGGCGCTTCGGCAGCATAGAAAAAATTCTGGTTTTAAGGAACACTGACAATGTACTGGTCAAATGGTGACTTTCAAGCTTGTCCATACTTACTGGAAAAATTGAGATTCTGGAAGTAGGTCTGCAGATTTTGGAGTATCATAGATCACACCAAGTTTACTGGAAAAAAAAAGAAATCAAATTCAATATTGAATGTAAATTCACAAAAAAAAAAAAAATACAACAAAAAGCAACTTTTATGGGAAATAAGAAAAAACATCAAGACACATATGCATAATTAACATTGCTCAATATCTTAAATGGACTGATCATATTTTTTTTTTTTGGAACTGTCCATTTTCAATTTTGGGGATGTCAAGATAAATTTGAACCTCGTAAGACTGCACAAATGTTCAGGTCGGCCTGGTTCTTGTTTTGCTTTTAATACATGTCTATAATTATCTTCAAAATTGATTTATTTATATAATTATATATTTACATATTGACTTATTATAGCTAAACTTAGCATATAGAGGGTTGATTGCAAAACTGTTGTAATCCTTCTTTATTTCATATATAAGTTACGGCAGTTTTGCTGTCAATCCTCGATATATATTTATATTGTGATTATAAAGTTATAATAGTCAGAGCAACATTCAACATTACCAGGCAAATACAAATGTCAATGTAACATTCACAACCTTTGTGTGACATTTAATGTGGTTTATAATACTCTGAATGTACTTAAAGTATCTAACCATGATGACATAAGTATCCTTTGTTGTTGTTTTTTTCCAGTGCAGTGTGTGGGTATTTTGGGTTTTTTTTAACAGCTTAAAAGACAGGAGTGAGAATAAGATCTTTGCACGTTTGGATGGATGATCATATGTAATTTATAAATAGTGTGTTAGAATTGGGTTCATGAAATCATTCTCTAAGTTGAAAGTGAAATCATTAAGAACTATATAATGTGACCTGTTAAGCTGATAAACCCTTTAAAGCAGCATGCCTCCAGATTTGTGAAAATTTTGAAAATGTATGTGAAAGTAAAATACTGTGAAAAGACCAAAGAAAATAATTCACAGATTACAAACAGCACTTACAATCCACGTAAATTAACAAAAAGAGGTCAAAATATACATAAATATCTCTTACTGCGTTAGTAAGGCAGTATAATTACAGTGATTGATACAGCAACATCAGTCATAAAACTCACGTAACATGTAAATAATTAATCAAATATTGAATCTTTTTACTTTTCTTAAGATCTTAATACATTTCTCTAAAGATTGAATTTCTTGAAATATTTTGGCTCACCTGGAGGCATGCAGCTTTAAACCTTTAGATTTTAACAGATTCCACCAATTATCACAGTCTTCAGTCAGTAAATTTATCCATAATAATGAATATGCATGGTTTTGTACAGATTGAAAGATGGACAAGTCCATTTAAAGGAAAACACACCTGTACACCTGGCAAGACCAAACCTGATTTTATCAACAATATTACAATACCTTTGTTATATTAAAATTCATGGATTTGAAAAAGTAAAATCCTTAACATGAGTGTCAAGGTTCAGAACTGTTCACTATTTCGGGGAGATAGTGTGTAAGCGGCCGGATAGCTCAGTTAGTTGAGCCGCATACGGTATTCCGAGGGTCCCAAGTTTGAGTCACGGTCAGGCTGCACATTTTTCTCACCCTATGACATGAGCAATATCCATGTTTACAGCCGGGGTATACTTACACGTTAGATGCGACCTCAACGTGACCTGGACACGGCTGCGTGTTCCACGTATTGTCATGTGTGCCCCAGACGTAGGGAGTTTTTGCTATGGCGATAAAGGCGTACATTCCATAATGTGTTACCAAGGGAACCATGTACACACATACCAGAAAGAGCTGTATAAGTAATGTTATACCAACACCTGAAAACACAAAACAAAGGAATGGTAAACACATAAAGTTCATAAACATTACACATATGCCCCTTACTTAATTTAAGTTTACTGTATGACAAGTGAAATCAAAATCAAGAAAATCTTGATGTGACTTTACTAAGCTAAATTTTTCAATAATACATACTTTACATTGAAAATTTTGCCTCAAACTTTAAGATCTCATAACGGTCAAGGTCATATCTGTATTATATTAAGTTTGAGTTCAATCAAATTTGAAGAGGTCAAGAAAAACAATGCCTGTAAACAATCAAGATATAAACAATTTATCAATCAGTGCAGCAGACTTTTCAAAGTTTCAACAGTTTGTTCATGGGAGTTAATACATATGGAGAGGCATTATGGACTTCACAGTAAAGCTTCTAGTTGTCCACAGTAATTTACTAAATTGGCTGTCAATTTTCTATCATCTTTTCAGGTCAGAGAGGGGGAAAAATTAAGTAAATATTCATGCTAGAGTTAGAGGTCTTAGTTAGAGACCTAATACTAGGACATCAAAGACGACTGTGTGAAGTTTCTAACATATTTTGATGAAAAAAATCTTGTATACTTAAGATCTTTCTTAGTTTACAATAAGGGCCTCAAGGTATGTATAATCAACAATAGGCAAGAGTTATGGGTCTTGGTCCTCACTGGTTTAAGTGGCCTAAAATTCATGGGAGTTTGATGTATAACAAGACTTTTGTTAAAAAAAGTGTGCAACCAATCATTGATATCTAATAATTAATCCACATTTATGTGTCAACACTAAATATACGAGCATGAAAAATTGATTGGTTTTGCTGAATCAGTATTATCACTGTGAAATTACAGTTGTAATTAATATTTCTCATTTCCATGCATGAGGAATGTTTCAACATAATGTCACATATCGATTCAGGTTATAAATTTTCGAGGTGTTTAATCAATAACTATCAATGTCAACCTATTTAACAATACTCACTTCTGTGCCATGGTCATGTAGTTTTCAATCAGAATGCAATTTACTGTGAAATCCATGCACAATAAAAATTTAATTATTTCAACATCAGGGATTTTTTCCAGGATTTTGGGAACATGACCCATACCCATGGAATTGGGAATTTCACCAATGTCTTGTTAAAAATTGGGGAAAAATGCATGACTTAAATTTTGCAATGATTAAATGAATGCAAAGAATCACATCTAGGACCACATCTTCAAGCATTTAAGTACCATAACAGTGAAGAAGTCCTTATTTTCAAAGATTTTAGAATTTGTTATTCAATGTTTTTGTTTTGTAACTTTAAATTGGGAATTTTTTCCTATGGATTGGGAAAAAAAGATACTTTTTTCAATTGGGAATATGACCGAATATCGGCTATAAAATAAGCCAAAAAAAATCCCTGAACATACATGTAAAAAGCTGCAATTCTGGAAAACAAGAGATCTTTAAGTCAAGAGCAGTGAATAAAACCAATTTGGGGATAATAGATAATTTGATCGAGACAATGTAAACAGCAACATTTGTTATCTCGCTCTTGCACCATCTATTGCATCACTAAACACTTAAAAACATCCTGAATCCTTTAACTAGGAAATAGATTATCAATTTTGAATAAAATCACGAAAGTCTATAGGCCTTATACATTAATTGCAAATCGTTTGAAGGTTAAATGAGCCGCATCATGACAAAACCAACAGTGCGTTTGCGCCCAGAATGGATCCAGGCCAGCCTGCGCATCTGATGCTGTTCGCTATCAGTTTCTCTACTTGTAATAGGGTTAGTAAGCGAACAGCATGGATCCTGATCAGACTGCGCGGATGCGCAGGCTGGTCTGGATCCATGCTGGTCGCAAACCCCATTATGTTGGTTTTGTCATGACACAGCTCAAATGTGTATTGCAAGAAAATTGAATATCTATTTCAACAATTGAAGAACACTGTAATCTCTATATAACAATTCCTCACAGTCATTTCAACCTCTCTTCAAGCAACATCTCTCAGTAACAACAAATATCTATGTCACCAAAACCATATTGCTATGCAGAAATTGAATTCACTGTGATTAAAATTACCTTAAAGTAAAGGTAAAAGTTCAAAAAGAGTGACCTTTAAATATAGGTAAATGTTCATAATAGTTACCCTTCAATGAGGATAGTTACCTTTAAATAAGGGTAAAAGTTCATTAAAAGTAACCTTAAAGTATGGGTAAATGTTCATAAGAGTAACCTTTTCAGTATAGGTAAATTTTCATTAAGAATTACCTTAAAGTAAAGGTAAATGTTCATTAAGAATTACTTTTAAGTAAGAGTAAACCTTTAAGAGTTTACCTTTAAGTAAGAGTAAATGTTCATTAAGAGTTCAACCTTTAAAGGTAAATGTTTATTAATAGTTACCTTTAAGTAAGACTAAATATTTAAAAGAGTTACCTTAAATTAAAGAGTTACCTTTAATTAAAGGTAAATGTGCATAAGAGTTACCTTTAAGTATAGGTAAATGCTCATTTGAAGTTACCTTTTAATGGTAAATGTTCATTAAGAGTTACCTTTAAGTATAGGTAAATGTTTACTAAGTAAGCCGACAATGCCTTTCTGTTGATGATTGCCAATCTTCAGCTGTATAAATACAGGTGGTATACAGAGGACAAATAGAAATATGTACGCTGCCAGCAGGGACATGCCTGAAAAATACAAACACACAATATTCTATCATCAGATTTTGCAATCAGTATATTAAGTAAGAGTAGTTCAGCTTTTGGGCAGTCTTAAAAAGGTATGTCACTTGAATGTCAGCATTTTCTTTATTTTTAACCCTATGGTTGCTGTATTAGACTTGTCAAATGGTGTCCGGTTTGTGACAAAGATTATTGTACTCATAATCTAAACATCATACTTGAACTTATGATCATTCATATAATTGACTTTAATGCTTTGTCAGTATTTTTAAACTATATAATTTGTACTGAACCTGCTTGCTTGGCTCAATATAGGGAGAATATGAGATTTGTTATCCTGGAGTCACTGCTTCGATATCCTTGGGCAAGGCTAAATTTCTCTGTGACAAATGATATTGGACATTGAGTCTATAATGGTCATTTGTCTCTTACCACAGACTCAGAAATCATGCCAGATAATTTTTAGGTCACTTGCAAAGAAATATTTACTTATTACTTGTCCAAGAAAGCAAGTTAGGTGGATCAAATGCCAGGATATGACCACAAATGCATTTAAAGTGGACATCAAACAAAACCAAACAAATTTTTATACTGTGAGTGGCAGTCAAAGTATAAAAGCACTGAGCAGAGCAGATTGCTGGAAATTTCTGCAGCACGTGTTTTGCTAATCTTGCACACATAAAATAGCTGTACAATAATTAATATCATAAATAATTCTGGTTATATAACCAGAGATAAAATTCAAGGGAGAATATTCTATTGATTGCAGTCTGGGTATTTTAGTATTCTGGTATTTTAGCATTCAATGCACCAATATTGGTCCTAAAATACCAGTGTTTTATTTTTCCTTCAATATGTGCACTTTAGCCATTTGCCTGAAATCTTACCATCTAAATAAGAGGGGATAAAGCATAGACTATCAAATTATATATTTATTGTACTGTAATTTTAGGCACTTAAATGGCATAAAATATACTATGGAAGGTTAAATAATTATATGATGCTTCTTAGCAAAGTAAGGGTCTTTTTAATGGTATACTTCAGGACTTTCCTATTGAAACAGGATAGCGTCAGAATTAAAGTCTTCAAACATTAACAGGATAGAGTAAAGAATATGACAAAAAAAATTGCAAAATGGGCTGTAAGTCTTTGACCTTAATTTTTCGATGTACAGATACAAATCTTAAAGATAATTTACGTTCATATTCCCGTTAATTGAAGCCCTAAGAGACACTCAATAAGATTTTTTTAGAATATGAAAGGAATATTTACCTGATGGCATGCGTGTAAAACAGAGCCATGCCGGATATACCACAATAAAGGCTATCTGAAGCAAATTCCACGGTGCAACCTCTCCAGCCATTATTAAATTGCTCTGTCTTGTGTTTCTGGGTTGATTTGCTGGTGTTTAAATATCCTTGTCGCTGATTCTGTGCACTTTCTGACGTTTCTATGCACTTGCTGGTAATTTTATTGGCTTGTTGCTAATTAAAACTCTTTTCTCACACCATTCCTTAAGTGTAAAGCGACTTACTAGCTTATTTATTTAAGTCTGTCGATCAATGTCCTTTTTTTCCTTAAAAAAATTTCCTCATACAGTAAAACATTTACACTTCTCCTTTGCAATTATCTGCCTTTTCTCACCTTTATATAATTGCCTCTTTTTTCAATTACTTTCCTATTCCTTTTGTTTATTACTTCCTTTTTTTAACTTTCACACTGATCTTTAATCTCCTGCATCTTACCTTCCTTTTTAATTATTTTTAGCCCTTTAGGTTTGTATTGTTACCTCCTTTTTTTATTTCCCTATGTTTATTATCTCCCCTTGTTATAACTTTATCTTCTACTTCCTTCAATATCAATAACTTGTCCCTTTCTTTATTACCTCCCCTTTTTTACTACTCCGCCATTTTTTTTTTTTACTTTCTTACCTCCCTTTAAATTACACTTTTGCCTTCTTCTATTGCTTATATCACCTAATTTTCCCCTTTCATAACATATTTTTTTCTCTTTTTAATTACCTCCCTTGAATTAATTTGTCTTCTCTTTTACTTTATTACCTCCCTTTATATTATTACTTTTTGGTTATTTTTCTCTTTCCTATAGTTATTTCCTCTTTTGCATCATTAATTTCCTCTTATATCTCTGTTTAACTATCACCAATTTGTAAAATATTTTCCACTTTGTCACTAACCTGCCTCCTTCGATAAAGTTCTAAAACATTTATTTTATCATACAAATCATCTCTTAATTTGCCTTGTGCCACTAATTAATTCCATTCAATTCACTGAGTTTCTCTGTAATAATTTTCAGACACATTTAATTCCAAGTTCTTTAATATTGATTCTGAGGTTAAAGTCACAGACATTGCAACTTATTACTAGAATCAGATATTTTTTACCACCCTTTAACAATTATCAGGGAAACATTATAGCCACATAATGCACCTAGTATAATCCACAGTTAAAGCAAAAATTTCAAATTCTGCCGTGTATATTCCGCATTTAAAGCAAAAATTTCAAATCCAAACCAAAAATCCACTGTTGTTTACTTAGTACTTACAAACTCGTTATATAATCCCTGTGTCTTCGTTATTCCTTACTGAACGATAAAAATTCCCTTGTCTTCGAAATATTCCTTATTGAACGATAATAAAACTTGCCATATTTTCCTCGGGAAGATCTTTTATTTGGTCCTGGGGATAATTCAGTTTCTAACGTTGAATGTATCACTTACAATTAACAATGCCATATCTCAAAGACAGTGTTGCAGCGTCTTTCTAAGATACAATAACTGTCAATTTTGTTGTTCTTTAATTTACTCCTTGAGTGTTGCCGGTTTTTTGGTCTCCAAATTTCCTAAATGTTAAATATTTGTCCTATCTGAAAATAGAGAGAAAATAACTTCTGTTTAAAACTGAAGAATTTATTGTAATAAGCACAAAATATAAATAAAGCAGAGTTTTCAGTTGGAAAATTAAATAGAAGCAGCCTTAGATTAGCCTCACCTTGGAAGACATAATTTTCAATTCCCCCCTCCCCCCATTTCCACCCATCAAAAAGCGTTGCAAAAGCTTTTCAGTCAAATGTACTCAAATCATGTAAGAACCCGCACAGAAATTTGACATTCAATATATTTCTGAGTACATTTTTTACTATCCTTTGCAGATTTATCCATTTCAATAGATTCACTTGATATATATATTTGAAAAATTTTCCAATGTCATGGGTTTTCTTTAGACTTTTAACCTAAAGTGACTAGCTCCAAGTTAACTACACGTATAATGTTCATCAATCAGAAGTAAGATCAGTGACCCCCAAATTTGTTTCGCCTTACATATTTCAATTGTCATATTCTAACAACATGCCAAGTTTTAAGAAATTCTATTGAACAGTTTCAATTTTGCCTATATCATCATTTCAGTGTCTATGTGAAAACTTCCAAAAATGTGAAAACTTCCAAAAATGTCCTTAAATCAGAAAGTTCGCTTTTTCAGATGTTTCAAATAGCAAAATCTCTCACATATATTATTAGTATATAAATATCAACAGCATAAAACAAATATATCATACATACATACATGTATATAATAAAATAGATCTATCTTTTCATAAAATGATAATAAAACTTACTACAATAACACAACAAGAGGGCCATGATGGCCCTGAGGTCGCTCACCTGTATATAGGCCCCCCCTCCCCGGGCCAATTTTTACCCAAGGGCTTTTATTTGTTTATTTGAACAGACTTGGTAGACACCCATAAGAAGATGTTTCATGCTAAACATCTAAGTTCTAGCTCATTGGGTTTTTTAAAAGAAGATTTTTAAAGTTTTTACTATACACATATAGTTAAAAACAATGACACCCCTGGGGCAGGGCCAGTTTTGACCCCCGGGCTTTTATTTGAACAAACTTTGTAGATATTTACTTAAAGATCTTTCATGCTTAATATCTAAACTCTAGCTATTTGGGTTTTTTCAAAGAAGATTTTTAAGTTTTTGCTATACACATATAAGGAAAATCAATGACCCCCCCCCGGGCGGGGCCAGTTTTGACCCCAGGGCTTTTATTTGAACATACTTGGTAGACAACCATTAGAACATGTTTCATGCTAAATATCTTAGCTCTAGCTTATTGAGTTCTTTAATAGAAGATTTTTGAAGTTTTTACTATATGCATATAGGGAAAATCAATGACCCCCTGGGGCGAGGCCAATTTTGACCCCAGGGCTTTTATTTGAACAAACTTGGTAGACACTCATTAGAAGATGTTTCATGCTAAATATCTTAGCTCTAGCTCTTTGGGTTCTTTAAAAGAAGATTTTTTAAGTTTTTACTATATGCATATAGGGAAAATCTATGACCCCCTGGGGCGGGGTCAATTTTGACCCCAGTGCTTTTATTTGAACAAACTTGGTAGACGTTCACTAGAAGATGTTTCATGCCAAATATCTAAGCTCTAGCTCTTATGGTTCTTTAAAAGAAGATTTTTTAAGTTTTTACTATATGCATATAGGGAAAATCAAAGACCCCCCCGGGGCGGGGCCAATTTTGACCCCAGGGCTTTAATTTGAACAAACTTGGTAGACACTCACTAGAAGATGTTTCATGCTTAATATCTAAGCTCTAGCTCTTTGGGTTCTTTAAAAGAAGATTTTTTAAGTTTTTACTATATGCATATAGGGAAGATCTATGACCCCCTGGGGCGGGGCCAATTTTGACCCCAGGGCTTTTATTTGAACAAACTTGGTAGACATTCACTAGAAGATGTTTCATGCTTAATATCTAAGCTCTAGCTCTTACGGTTCTTTAAAAGAAGATTTTTTAAGTTTTTACTATATGCATATAGGGAAAATCAATGACCCCCCGGGGCGGGGCCAATTTTGACCCCAGGGCTTTTATTTGCACAAACTTGGTAGACACTCACTACAAGATGTTTCATGCCAAATATCTTAGCTCTAGCTCTTTTGGTTCTTTAAAAGAAGATTTTTTAAGTTTTTACTATATGCATATAGGGAAAATCAATGACCCCCCGGGGCGGGGCCAATTTTGACATCAGGGCTTTTATTTGAACAAACTTGGTAGACACTCACTAGAAGATGTTTCATGCCAAATATCTAAGCTCTAGCTCTTAGGGTTGTTTAAAAGAAGATATTTAAAGATTTTTCTTTCGGTTGCCATGGCAACCAGAGTTCTGCATGGAATTAAATTCTTTGAACAATTTTTAAAGGTGACGACCAAAGGAACATTCCTGTGAAGTTTGGATGAAATTGGCTCAGTGGTTTATGAGAAGATGTCATTTAAAGCAAAAGTTTACTGACGGACGGACGGACGACGGACGGATGGACGGACGGACGGACGGACGGACGGACGCCGGACGAAAAGCGATCACAAAAGCTCACCCTGTCACTTTGTGACAGGTGAGCTAAAAATACAAACATAAAAAAAATACAAATACAACGCAAAGAAAAATTCCTGCAGGATTTAAAATCCTATTCTTTAACACAATTCCATTATACAAAACACCCACTCAATATAAATGTCTCCGAGCCACACCATCTGATCGTAAAATATTGTTGTTATTTTTGGTACAGACAATCTTTATTATCAGGCATTACTGTAAAACAGCAGATCAAACTTAGTAATGGTACAACAGGGACGTGTACGTTTTGTTAAAGCTGCAAGTTTTCTATTTTTAGCACAAAATTTCAGCGAGCATTTTGAATACGAAACATTTTATCACTAATCGAAATGAGACATTTTATCAGTCATCAAAATTCACACTTGCCCCCGACAGTTTAACACTTGTTAAATGAACTTGAGGCTCATGAAGATAATATAAATTAAATTCTGTAGTAAAAAAAACCAAAAACATTGTTTTTACTAAACTGATTATATATATGACTACCTTAAGTAAGAAATTTAAGGACTTAAATTCTAGTCACTCAAGAATAAGATTTCTGATTTGTAAATTGTGACTATTTTTATTTTTCTGGTCTATACTTAATGTAAAGGACATATTCACCTTTATTACTCACAGTTATATGATACACCATTTTTTAAAACACTAAAAGCATTTTACCTTATATTGTTCACAATAGCTTGTTATTTAAATATATACCCATTTATGTAAAGAACATAATTATTCACACAATATCATGTTTTAATGCCAAATTGTGTTGTAATGAGTCAGATGTACCTGCAGATCTCAATTGGCATAGACTGCATCACAAGCCTTAGGTAGAATCTGTTGTATACTAAAGATTCCACACTGCCACCATTCTTTCTCAACCTAGCTAAACCCTTTCTTTATTATCATAAAAGAATCAAAAGTTCCTACTGAGATTTGAACCCAGTGATATGAGAGCCAAGAGTAAACAAGTTTGAAATGTTAACCACTTTGTCACAGAGGCTCCTGATGCCAATTCTAGAGTACTATGCCAACGAGTCACTGTAAGGGGTCCAAAATGTCTTCATGCTATACCTGTACAGAAGTTTTCTTATCATTTTTTTTTTGTTGCATGCACTAACAAAGTACAAGTAAATTAGGACAAATAGTTCCTTATAATGACAACTTTCCAGCTTTATTGGTGCCATTATTTCAGGCACAAATAGGCATGTGAGTAGAACCACTAATGTGTCAGCTAGCTGGATAGCTTTCTCACATGAAGAACCTAATTCAGAAGATACTGGCACGGCTCAAACCTACAGCGTCTACTAAGAGACAAATGGTTTTAAGTCAACGACCTTAACCACTAGGCCAATTGTCTTTATATCACATGAAGTGTACATACAAAATCATTGTTTGCACAATCAATTCTGTATATAGGAGAACCTAGGGAACCATGCAGACATCTCCGAACATCACAGTGAAGATAGGGAGAAAAACTCTACACCATTGTAAGACCTTTTACTATTCTGCACAAATAATTGATGAAGTGAATGACAGGCTGACAGAACATCTGTAATTGAATAGTGAGAAAACACTCTGAATGCGAATCGTTGTTTGTGGGGGTCTATATGTTACATTATTGTGGGTCTATATGTTATATAATTGGCTTGCCATAGTCTTACAGATGTTCACATCCCCGCCACATTTTCCCTACTGAAATATTAATACCAAGTTTGGGATATATTTTACAGCAATACAAAGTTTGGCAATTCAAATCGAAGAAGTGTTTTTTTCCAAACATTATTTTATGATGTGCCTTCAAATACAAGATGATTAAAATACATACCAGACTAATAAAATATATCACTGATTTTTTGTCTGTAAGAGATATTCCAGATTTATAAAAGCAAATTCATATGTACTTTCGGAAAATTGGCCATTCTAGCCGACCGACCTCGGGCAAAAATTTAACAAGACACAGTAGTTTCATTTCAGTCCCCAGAGGGATATTTCTTTTTTTCATCTCAATATCATGGTTAACTAACTTACATCATTCCCCAGAGGTTACATTGGACACCATGACTATTTGACCATTTATTATGACATATATTATCACCCCTAAATCATCATGTTATCATAGTAAGTGTTACAGGGATAATGTGACGAAAAGCAAAATTGTGATGAAATCTATACGAAGTTCATTAAAATTACAGAATAAACCTTCACAAGTCCTGTGCACTGGCGTTCAGCACATTTGCCAATTGCCATGCCAATACTATATAAATATATATTTTATATAGTTTAAACAAGTGCTTGATAGTAATTTTGTTCTTGATGATCAATGGGTGATTATTTTAAATTATGATATATTTACCCATTATTGGCAAGGAAAATGTGACGAACGGCTGTGGTTCTGTGTACTAATCAAAAGTTAATCACCATTAACACCAATTAAACAGAACTAAGTTAATATAATTATTATTGATGTGGCATTACCTTATTTAACAAAATAATTCCATCAAACTTGAAATATATCTATTTTCCCACGTTTTAATAATAATCAGTCAATTCAAAAATCTTCAAACTCTCAAAAAGTTCAATGGATCTATTTTTAAAAGAAAATGGTATATTCATAAAATAACCACAAAACACAGTACCTTGTATGTAATATTATCATTATCTTTATGTATTCATACATGGATCTATTTATATTGCAATAGTTGTATATAATACATTGTTTATTGTTATTGAAATACCAAAATATATGATCCATTGAATTGATAACACACACTTTAACAAAAACAACAATAGAACATTTTAACAAATTTAACAAAGTAAACAAAACACTAAACAAAAGTTAACACATTTTTTGTTTGTAAAAATTCAATTACTTATTAGCCACCTATCTAAACAAAAATTTCGCATTTCCATTAACCTCACATGCACAGTTCAATTCATTTATATGGAGATAAAGTAATTACCTATACAGACAATGTCATCTAAAACCACTAATTAGTAAACCTATTATCACTGCTGAAATAATACCCGTGATATAATTATCAGCCCATTAAGGCCAACCTGAAAAATATAGTTTGCTTCTGACATAATTGAAAAGACTGGTTTTTTTTATAGTACTTACATTTACATTATAAGTGCTGGAAAGCAGTTAAAGAATTTAGAAGTACATGTATGCTTGGCATTACATCATTCCACCATTTTCTTAATGAAGTTGCTTGTCTAATTGGGTTTTATGTCACACCGATACAGTATAAGTCATATGACGACATTCCAGCTTTGCCAGTGGAGGAAGACCTCAGGTGCCCCTCCGTGCATTATTTCAGGCACAAATGGGCTCCAGAGCAGAGTTAATGAAGTTGTATCTAGAATAATAGTAAACTATGATAGGAGAATGGAGCGAGTTTCATTAAAAGTTAAAATATATTTAAATTTAGCTTCACACAAAATTAACCAGTTTAGTAATTTACACACTATAATAGTACCGTTAAATATTATCGGCACCAGTGACGACAGTTTTTTTACACATGTAATATTCAAATAGTTTCCACTGTATAAGCTATATAACTTGATATATCACTAATATTTGGCTTCTGATATACCGATACCAAATTTTCTATCAATGACAGCACTAAGCAGCCTTCTTGTACATGTATAACAAAATGCCCTGATACACTAGGTTTTGGGCTAGTCAAGCTCCTGTTGGTTCTGAACATTTATTTAGTAACTTAAACTGGCTTTTTCAAATTGTCCAAAGAATCTTCTTTATTTTAACGATAAGTCAAACTATTTGTGACTAACAACATTTTCAAATATTATCCCTATCTAACATAATACCTCAATTGATAACAAGTAGGAAATAATTACTGTATTAGCTGTCAGTTCAAAATGGTTATATGATAAATAACTTCCTTCCATTTTTTGACTTGATGATAATGACAAAAACCAAACAATCAACATACCAAAGATAATTTTTTTTTAGATAGTTACACTGTATATATAATATTTTACTCAGTATCACCTCAACTATTATATCATCAGCACATTCAATCCCTTACCACTCTAAATATCTAATTCTTAAATAGGACTTGTCCATCTTTCCCACTGGACAAAACCATTCATCATTTTAGGGGAAAATTTTCAAAATTATTATTTATTGTCCAGATTGAAAGATGGACTTTATCCATTTATCAACAAGATATTAAATGGAAATGAAGGGCTAAATTCTTTCTTATTTTTTAATGTTTGTTTTTAAATTACTATATTCTAACAAATTTTTATGAAATTTTTTATGAAAGATTTCAGCAAAAAGTGTAACAAACTACTTCTGTATCATACAGGCTGTATATTAATTGAAATCAATTCTCATGAAGACAATATAAAGGACAACTGTTAAAATAATTAATACATTTTCAATAGCACTTCAAGAACACAGAAATTACGCTTTTAAAAATAACGCTTTTAAAGACCCACTGCAAATTATGCTGTTTTTGGGTTGTTTTTTTTGTTTTTTCTTAAAAAAAAGTATTCTGAATGGCATAACAGTTGTACAAGGAAAATAAATATGACAGTATCATATCATGTACTGAATTTCCTTATTATATAACAAAATGTTCGACATTATCGTCAAAAAAAAAAGAAAAAACTTCTATCTTTATAACCACTTCATCATCACATTTCCCAAAAATTACAAGTGTACTGCATGTGGAGTAAAATTAATGCTCGCCTTTTAAGGGCAAGAACAATCAATTACCCAAATTGGATAATAAAAAAACAATCTAAGTTTAAAAGGGAAATAACTCTACAGCTTTCATAATGCCCCTTGTCTTACAACTGTGCCTTGTCAGAAAATTTTAGAGTGATAATGATTATTAGTTTTAAGTTGATATCTTTCATCGCTTTGAAATCATTTCACTTAAAAAAAAAAAATTTGACAAAAAAATTGAAAAAGGGGCATAACTCTAAATATACAGCTTCCAAAATGATGCCCCTTGAAATAGATGACTTGCAACTTTTTATCAAGTATTTCCAATTTCATGTTGATACCTTTTAAAATGTTTGAAAAAATGAGCGATATTTAAGTTTTTTGACGACAACAACAACAACTACCTTGACCACGGCTGACAGCTATCATTATTATATTGACTTTTTTCTCCGAAACAGAAGAGCTAAAAAATGACTACATCATAAATCACACAAGTGAATAT